GTCCTATCCTATCGCCCAACTGCTGGTCCTGCCTGCAATTTGCATTCCAGGGACACAACGCAATGTTGCACCTAGAAAAAAAATGCTATGAATAAAGACAAATAATTCATGTGGGGGACCCCCAAAGTGTCATTTATTTTCCAGTCTCTGGCAAAAGTCAGGACTGGTTGAGATGAAAACTCAAAATCTGAATCATCATTCAGTCATCAGGACTCTTCTTGAAATCCTCTGCGTACTGGAAGCGAACAGACTCCAAGCAGCGGAGCGCCGACCTAGGGCGCCACACTGATGCCCTCCTTCCAGGCACCAGGAGCGTCTGCCTGCCCTGGGGTGAGGGAGCTGAGCCCCAGGGCTGGGCGGAGGGAGCCGGTCACCTGGCCGGAGGGCCAGCACGGGAGGGTGGTGGGGGCGGCGAGGAGCCCAGGCGGCACTGGCGTGCTCATCCAAAGCCAGCAGTGAATGCAAAACTGCCAAGAGACCACTTCAAGTGTACTAGGGCAATTCTTACTTTTGGAGACGCAGGCTATTCAAAATTCAAGCATTGAGCAAACACTGGATGGACACTGAGCGTACGCTGCAGTGTGTCTGCAAAGTCCTTTGTGCCTACATGCAGTATCAGCCATGCCAGGGCGCCGCAGACCTCTCCTGACCCGCCGCTGCTCCCCTCGGCAGTGGACTTCGTCGGTCGGCCTGTTCTGCTCCCCACTCTGTCTCTGGTGAAGCCTCTCGCCGCCCCTGCACTTCTGGCCTATACCCCAGCTCTGTATGCATCAATAAATAAATCTTTAAAAAAAAAAATCAGCTGTGGATTTTCTCCAGTTATCCTGTATCTACAAACCCCTCAACAGTCACACAGCTTCTCTGGGGCAACCAGAGAACCCCTTTTCAATTTTCATGGGACAGGACAACATTTCCTACTGTCCCCACACAGTAATGGAGCCTGGCCAAGCCATTTACATGTTACATGTTGCACTTGGAGCTATTCATTACTGAGAAAATAAAGGTGAACAGTTCAGTGGAGATTAATTTAGGAATAGAGGCGGCATTCAGTATCTAAACCGCAAAGGCATTTTTAGCCCCAGACAGCACCAAGCCCCAACAAAACAGTTTATCTGAAAGATGCAAGTCTCTCCCCTTACTCCAGCCGCCTAACGACGAGAAGCACCTTCATTAAGTGGCCCCCCCACAGCAAGCAGAACTGAGAGAACAAGCAAGGTTTTTCTGTGTTGTTGTTACAGCCCAGCTCACACTTAGGCAGGTGGGACCCCACCACCCGGGCACAGGGGGGAAGTCGCGCTGGGTGAGCTACCCCGGTGTGAGCAGAGGCACCCCACACCCCGCCTGGGCATCCCAGGAGACAGCAGGGGCCTCTGACATCCCTGCCTCTGCTCCCCCCAGCTCAGGGCAGCAGAAAGCTGGCAGCAAGGCACTCCGGAGCGCCTCACCCTTACTACGCTCCTTCCTCTAGCCAAGGCGCTCATCTCATGTGAAGACAGGTTCCTAGGAGACACATCGAAGCAAAAGCCAACTGTGCTAAGAACAGTCTGCAACCCTCTGCCCTGCACCGTGGAGGCCCCTCTGCGCTGCAGGGAACTGGACAGGAGACAGGGGTGCTGGTACAGGCCCCAGTGTGCACGCGAAGGCCAGGTCTGCACTGGTCGACGTGAGCCATCCTTGCTCCGCTACTCCAGGAAGAGGGCAGCATCGGGACCAAGTGCACCTGTGTCTCCCCACTGCCGTCACTCACAAGGGCCTTCTTGACAAGTCAGCCCCGGAACAAAAACACTCAGTCCCCCATCAGGGTGTCTACCCGGAGAGCAGGCCCTGATGCGCCCTACAACTTTTTTAAGGTTTACTTATGCATTCAAGAACCGGAGTACAGGGCAGAAGTTGGGGTGGGGGAGGGCCGTGGGGATTCATCAGAGATAGAGTAGGGGGCAGCACAGGCAGAGTGACTGATACACACTGCTGAGGGGAGTGGGGAGACAGGAGCGGTCTGCCGCGCCGCGTGGGTCATTCCCTGGCCGGGGATTGAACTAGCTTCACAGTGCTGAGCCCTAATCCCTTAATGCCACCAGGGAGGGCCTCTGCCCTAGAACTTTAAAGCAAAAGGTGTCCTTTAGGCTTAGCTATCCAGCCCTCAAGTTTTTAATCCTATTACAAAGGCTTCTTAAATGTAAAACTGAAGGGCTCCCTGGTGGCACAACGGGTTAAAACACAGCACTATGAAGCTGTCTTCAGCCACTGCGTGAGATGCATCCCCGGCCAGGGAGCTGACCCACAGGGCGCAGAAGACCTCTCCTGTCTCACCTGCTGCTCCGCTCAGCAGGTGTATTTCCGTCCATCCACCTGTTCTTCTCCCCACTCTGTCTCCAGTGAATCCACTTATCCCACCCCAAACCAAACCCACACACACTCTGGCCTATGTTCTTATATGCAATAAATAAATAAATTTTTAAAAAAGGCACAGGCTGCCATCAAAAAAGGAAACCAATGAAACTGCCAAATACAAATCTTTCTGCCTCCAACCACTTTGTGTCCACACTTTGCATTCAATAACAAGTATTTGCCTTTATCATCCTCAACGGTGACACCTGCAGAAGGGAAACTCCGCCCAGTACACACCTGGAGAAGCCGCCTTTGACAGGCCCAACTCTCCCACTGAGTGATCACTATACTTCCCAGGGCTGCGCGGTAGCGTGGGGGGTGAGGAAAGAGTCTGAAGGGAGCCCACAGCGCTGGTTTGCCACAGGCCTGGGGCGGGCACAGATCCGGTCCCTCATCCCCAGCTGCACTCAACAGCTGTCAGGGCCGGTCAGAAAGTGTCCACTCTCTCAGGTGGACAAGGCCAGGCACACATACGCCCGGCGCCCGGCTCCGGCTCTCGATGATGACTGACAGCGATTGGGCGTTTTCTGTAGGCATAATCTGGTTTAATCCTCCAAGTCTATAAAAAAAAAAAACCATCCCCTTATTTACAGATCAGGAAATTGAGGCTTAGAGAGAGCTGAAGTAATTTGCCCAAGGTAACAGGACTCATGCGTGGCAGAGATCCGAACCCGCCTGCCTGATGCCAGTCACCGCCCTGCTGTGCCCGCCCGACGAGACAGCCAGGTGTCCAAAGTGACCCAGCGACCCTGTTTTCCCCTGCGTCCCCAGCAGGAGACACCGAGGCTGGACGGCCAGAGGACTACTCAGCTCATTTCCCCAGGCGGCGCCACACGCCACTCAAGGCTCACTTTCACTCAGGGATTCTCCGAGACCTGGGCCTCCCCTGAAAGCTGGGCCCACAGGGCTTTCCTGCTTCCAGCACTGATGTCACCAGACTGGCAGCCTTCCTCAGGTGCCAGACAATGGCCAGGTACAGTCACGTGACCGCTAGCCAGTTTCCATATGGCGCTGGAGTGTCAGGTAACGCGCCTTTCATCTGCCCTCCTAGTTGGCTTGCTGCTCTCTGCCGTTTCCTCAGGTTCAACCAAGTGGGAAGAATTTATCAAATTCTAGGCCCATAGCACAGAACTCCTAGGAGGGGAGTAGGCAGAAGAGCGCCGTCTCCGAACCTCCTGGTTACCGGACAGCTCTCCAGTCCACACAAGCAAAAACACGCTGAGCTCAGTGTCAGGAGGGAGCACAGGCTTGGGCCCCCACCCCAAGAAACCCCTCCCAGTCCCTGCATGGAGGGGAGGGTCTAGGACTCACACAGAAACCCAGGGTCTAAGACTGGGGGGAACCGTAGACTGGGGAAGAGAAAACCTCCCCTGGGGAGCCTCCCGCCCCGGGGTGTGGGCACACCAGACACAGGGCAAGAGAGAGACGCTGCTTGTCCCCACAGCCAGCTCGGCAGGGAGGCACCCACCTGCCACTGCCGGGGGTTGGTGCCAGGGCCAACCCAGGCAGGCTGCCCAGGCTGGGGCACGAGGGCTGGAGTTCTTTTTTTAATTCTCCTGACTGATGTCATTTTTAGAGTGAAACGATAGACTTTAAGTTAGAGCTGAATGAGTTTTAAAAATGAAACCTCCTGGTCAACTTCTAGAACATTCCCACCACCTGCAGAGAGATCCCCTGCCCCGTGAAGAGCCAGCTTCCCGCACACCTTGAGATGTCCATCACCCGGAGCCAGGCTGCGTGGGCAGGTGAGTAAGCCCAGCACCTCTCTTTCCTCCTGGAAAGCCACCCACCCTCTGTCACTGGGGAGCCACTTCCTCTGACCCACAAGACACAGCAGCCCTGCTGGAAGCCTCAGAGCTGCGGACTTATCTGTTTCCCATTCTGGAAGGACGAACTTGGCCTATCACAGAGGAGAAAATAACACTAAATTGCTGAGCGGGGAGAGAAGCCCACCGGACCCAGCTCAGCCCTGGCCAAATGCAAACAAGCGAGAGCTGGCGTTTCTCAAAGGAGCAGCCAACAGGCTTTCCTGATTTACAAGCAAGTGGTAAACGCCGAGGAATTCCAGAGGTCAGGGAAGAAAGAGCAAAGAGTCCCAAGGCTTTTGTTGTCCCCTCTGCCTGGGTGTAAAAGCTGGATGAAAAGGCTGGGACACTGCTGGTTTTTTAATTAAACAGTCTTGGGCTTGGGTGAGGACAGGTTGAAATCTCACTGGTCACTGCAGCAAAGGAATCCAGTCATCCTGGGGTCTAACAGAATGGGGGAGGGTGGCCAGAACCTGATCACACCCTGGTGCAGTCCCCAGGAGACCCGGTTCACCCACGTCCCGGAATCGGATGACAGATTCGCCTAGTTAGAGCCTAATCAAACAGCAGGCTGGTAGCACCGGCGGTGCCTTAGGAAAAATTACGACCCAAGCATCTCTCCCGCAGCACCGCACCCAGTGACTTATTACAACAGAAGGGGGCTGTGCTCTTGGGAAATTTTTTAAAGCAGACTTTTCAGGGATGTCTGTTTAAACCACTTTCTGAATGTGCCGGAGTCAAATGCTGCTCCTCCCTCCTCCGTGCGCCCCAATGAAGCGAGCCTTTACGTAACAGGCTCCATTGGGCAACCTGCTTAGAGGCAGCCGGGCAGGTGAGCATGAGGGGACTGACCGCAGCCCGCCAGGCCAGCTCTCTTGGCTTCAAGCGCCTGCAAATCATACCAGCCCGATTCCAATACTCCCTCCAGTGTCTGAGTTAAAAACAATGCATTCAGCACCTACTGAAGTAGGCAGCTATCACAGGCACTCTGCACAGTTCAGCAACAGGAAAGGATGTGGTCACGCCGGCCCGCGCAAATGTAACTTCCACCAAGACCCTGCTTAATTCAAGCTCTAAGACAGAGGACCAGGGCATCCTGGAACACCAGCTCCACGGTGAGTGTAAATCCGCTTCATGAGAGGACTTAACCATGCCCACTTGATGAGCCCAACTGGCAGTGAAGGCGAGATGAAAGGGGCTAGAAACTTTACAGCCGCTCATGGATGAGCCAGGCCCACCCCGACACTTCCGGTAACCAGAGGCTCCCTTACCCCCAAAGGTTTTTTTTTCTTTTCTACCTGCGTGTTTTTGGCCAATCTCACAACGTTTGGAGCAGCCCTTCAAGTCCAACCTTCCTTCCTCAAGCATGCCACCAAGCTGCTGTCCAGTGTTCTCTGTACCCCCAAGGATGGCAAAAGGCACCCCAATACTGAGATACTAAGGCACCTTCTATTACCATCTTAAACACCATTTCCACAAATTTACTGCGCACTCCTGTCCTTCCTTCCCGAAATAACTTACATTTGCAACATGATTTGGTTCAAAAAGATGCCATCGGCTAAATCCATGTACATAGTCAGGTTGTCCCGGCTGCCGCTGCCGAATGGGCCAAAAGTTTTCACCTGTGAGGACGACAGGGAGAGGAAGGAGGGAAAGTCACCTCCCTGCGCTCACAGGGCCTGACGCCCTGGGGGGTGGGGTGGGGAGCCGGCAGGCAAGGGTGGGCGGAAGGGGTTCACCCGCGCGGGCGCCCAAGAGCACCCTTCTCTGGGGAGCCTCCTCCCCGCGCCAGGCAACGGTCGCGCGACAGCAGGAGGAAAACTTCCTCACCACTTTTCTCCAGCTCCCCAGAGCGGGAAGAAAAAAAAAAAGCAACAAAAAACCCCGAGACTTTTCAATAAATTTCTCACGTCTCAAATCCATTGGAAATCATCGCGCGCACCCCGGCCTGTACGCGTTCCCACACCCTGCCCCCCAATCCCCCCGCCATTCACCCGCTGGTCTCCGGGTTGCAAAAACGACACGAGGTTCGGGGACAGTGGGTCTCTTTCCTGAGCGGTCAAGCCGCGAGAGTTGGGGTGGCCACTCGACCCTGCCGGCTCCAGGGCGCCAGTCCAGCCCCGGGCTGGGAAACAGGTGTAGCCGCCCGGTGCCCGGCCGGCTCGAGAGCTCAGCGGGGTCCAGCCCCCCGCGCGCCGGCTCCAGGGTTGGGAACGCCTCCCGGCCCCAGGGCGCGGACCCCGACCCTGGCTGGGAACTTGCCGAGCGCCCGAGTCCCGAGGCTCCCCGCAGCCGCGAGCCGGCCGGGCGAGACGCCGGGGCCCCAACAATGGGGTGGGCAGCGGGGACACTCACCCAGGTCACCAGCGGGCTCTGCAGGAAGAGCTCCATGAGCTCCGAGACCGTCACGTCCATGCTGAGGCTGCGCCCGCCGCCGGCTCCGCGCCCCGCGTCCGGG